AGGGCGTTGGACCCTTTTGCAAAATTTTAAAATTTACATGGAATTAATTAATTAAAAAAAAGAAATGTTTTTGGTATTTTAGGATTTAATATAAAAAAAAAAAATTAATTAAAATTAACTACTAACCCTAATTCTATTTTATTTTTACTTTATTAAGAAAACATTAGAACTTATCCTAAATTAACCCTAATTTTTATATACAAATTTAATTATGAAAATAAAATATTTAATTATTTGATATATTTAGGAAAGAAAAATCAAAGGATGAAAAACTATTAATTAAACCTATTTCTACATTTTTTAGATTTTTGTTATGAAAGAAATTAAAATTAAGACCCTATTTTAAACTAATTAATTTACATGCATTTATTTACAAGAAATATTAAAATAAAAATTATTTATTTGTATTTTCCTTTTTTCTGATTTTTATTGTATTTTATAATTTTATGAAAATAATAATTAAATTAACAAGTAATAATTAAAAGGAATAAAAAATAATAATACAAAAAAAGATAAAGAATATATATAAAAAATGTGCAAACCTGGGGGTTCAGGCCCCAATATGGAGGTTTGCTCCAAGCAATTCTGGCCCATTGAGCATGGCCTTGTTGACTTTGCATGACACGTACATACGCGCTGACTAGGGCGCACTGTGTTCCTCAATCCATGACCTTCTGATTGACCTTGAGATGGACGTGGCACGTTTGATTTGGCAGTGTATGGTAGTCCTTAATGTTGGCACTGCATGGGAACGTGGATTGCAAAATAATATGAGAAATAATTCAGGCCTGGGGCTCGAACCCAGGTCTTGGACGTTATCAACAAATGCACCTGCCACCAGACCAATTCATACGCTTTGTATATAACGTAATAAACAAATAATATCAAATAAAGCCAAGGCGTTAGTGGGTTAAAGCGCGCAAAATTTAAATTGACCAACCAATACACGCCACGAGGTCATCTTCTTCCTCGTTCACGAAATACAAACAGATGGGCCACGGTTTTCCAACTGTTCTCCTAGGCTCGCTTTGGAAAAATAGCGATTAGGCCTAGGAGGTCCATAAATTGGGTGCGAGGGTTCCATGGTCTCCGTCCAGACATGCTGAATTGAACGGTGGTGGTCTTGAGGGCCAATTTTTTCTTTAATCAGAAACCCCCAATTTTGAGGTCCTGCAAACCCTAGAACACAAGCATGGCATAATCGTGTATAGCATGTAAAAACATAATTGAATCATATGGTTAGCTTCAGAATTTTATAAGGAACATGAATCAATGAATAAAATGCTATGAAAATGCTTAGATTTAAGAACACGATTATGAGCTTTCCATGGAATATTTGGAGTTCTGTATACCGATTCCTTGAGCTTTGATGAAGGTTTTTGATTGGAATCTGTTCAGTGATCTCCAAGGAAGCTAATGGAATACGAATTATGCCTTGAATCAACCTGCAAGTCAGTTTTCAGTATTGAGATTTTTGGCCAATTTTCCAAGTTTGATAATGGCTTTTGGGCGCAGCTCCGTGTGTAATCTCATTAGGGTTGTGTTCCTGGCTTATGTATGAACAAATTAGGTTAACAAATTGGATCCAAATCTCTTGTAATCATGGTTTTTGAAGATTTGATTTTCAAGATATTTTCAAATATTTTTTCATGTGCTTTTTGTATCAATTATGATCAATTCACTCCAAATCTTTCCTTATTTGGCTAGGCACGAATTATTGAGTATAAAACATGCACAAAAAGATTGGAAAACTTAGGTTAGCATTTTTCATACATTTATTTTGATTTAAATGAATTATTATAAATAAAAATTCAAATAAATAAATAAAAACTGAATAAAAACTTCCCTTTGGGCCAAGTGGTCGTACATATGCCATAGATGATGATTTGTGGAAGAAAAATGGGCCCATTAGCATTTTTAGGTCATTTGAATCAATGTTGACTTTTCAAAATATCCAAAAATTTCCCAACTTCTACAAGGCATAACTTGCTCAATTTTTAAGCTTTTGTCATGTTCTTGGACATTTTGGAAAGGTCTTTGAGTCCTCTAACCAATGTCTTTGGTCCCATGTCATTTTGATTTACCAATCTCAAGTTATGGCCTTTGACTTAAAGTCCCTTTTTGTTGACTTTTGAAAATGACCTATAATGTTGAAATTGATAACTTTTTGTGAGAGCATTTCTTGGACTTGAAGTATGAAGATGAGTTGTAGGAAATGTCTTTCTCTTCAAAATGAGCTTTGGATGGGATTTTTCTGATAATCCATGTGAAAGTTATGCCCTGGTCAATTTCAGTTGACTTTTTCAACTGTCCAAATAAGGAAACTTTTGCATCTTGATGATTTTTGAGCCAAATTTTGAGAATCATGATCAAGCATTGATCAAATGATGTTTGTGGCTTCAAAATGATATGTTGACCAAAAATTTGACCTTTTGACTGTCAAATGACCATTTTACCCCTACAGTTGACTGTAGTGCAATTAGGGTTTTTGACTGTGCAGTTTTGAGCTGAATGTCTTGAAACTTGCTATGAGGATACTTGACCATATTTGTAGGCATGTGAGACTTGATTGGACCTTTAGAAACTTCATTTTCTTGATCAGAACACAAACCCTAGTTTTGACTATATGGGAGACCTTTGCACTGTGCAACCCTTGGGGAACTTTTGCAGTTTGTCTTGGCAAATCTTGAAGAATATGGGAGGGCAAATTTTGGGGTACAACAAGCACAGATTGATTCTGATAAGTACCCACCTTGCTCTCCATGACAGTTTCCGTGTTGTTGTTCTTGTTCTTCCTCTTTGATGATTTCTTCAATTGCGATGATGTTGATGAAGACATTGTTAAGATTGCTGGAAGTTTTAGGGTTTAGTGAAAAAAAGAGGGGGGTTTCAGAATTTTGGAGAAAAAGAAGAAAAGACTAAACTAATGAGTTTTATAGAGAGTGTGGAAGAGTGAGTGTAAACACCCACTAAATAAGACTAGGGGTACGTGGAAGTCGTTGGTTGGATTCAGAGAGAGGTGGCGTAAGATCTAGTGTTGGTAATGAGTGTGATTAATAGTAATCATTATTTTTAAAACCGCACCATGCTGTGGTAACTGGTCCAAGACGGTTAGGTACTCAAAGAGGCGTCTTGATTGACGTGGGTAAAGTCATGCACAGTAAATGTCATGATTCTTCAAAAGACCTATCAAAATCTTGTGAATCTATTTAAAATAAGTATTTCTCAAAGGGTTCGAAATACATATTTTAAAGGGGCATTTTGTTGGCTGAAGATTTTGATATTGTGATTCGAAATGAAATGATTGGGCTTTGTTTGAATAAAGCAAGTTTTATGGTTTGGAATGGAAGAGACTGTTTTTTCGAATGGAAATATTAAAGTTCAAGGTTTCGAATGATAGTTGTGGAGTGTAAGTCTAAAGAATTTTCGAAATAATGATGAGATTATATTTGTGAAGCTTGTTTTCGAAAATAACCTTTGAAACGAATTTGAAACGAAGGTTCCAAGGCGTTTGAAATTCAAACGTGAGCGGGATATTGGAAATTCAAATACATAAGCGTTGGAGCGTTCGAGGACGCGTGGAGGCTAGAGGGAAGTAATGCTCTGCATGCTTCGAACGTGGCAGATTCTGATAGCAAGACCGTTATGGTCGAAATAGTATAAATAGAGGTCTTAGTGTTAGGATTTCAGGGTGTCATATCTGTTGTACAAATTCAGTAAACATTCAAAGTACCGCATGGATAGGGAAACGAATGCTCGAAAGATGTACGTATGAAAACACCAACATTTACAATTCAATGAAAACTCTTCATATTTTCCAGTTTTGTCTTTCATTTCCATTTCATTTGTGCTTCAAACATTTTTACGTTCATGCCTTTACATTAAAGCTTTTACATTCAGAGTCATTTATTTCTTTATGCATTTAAACGCCTTTCTTATGTTCGAATCCTTTAAACATTCAACAACTTTTACATTCACTCACTTAATCCTGCCATTTACCCAATCTTAAGTCTTTTTTACTTTTCTAATGAACATTCCTTATATCATATAGAAATTATCCTTCGAATCATTTAGTGTAGTAATCGAAGTGGATTGGATGTCTTTGAAACACTTTAATTAGAAGTCCTAAATATTAATACCAGTTTTACAATTAGATTTAGCCAAACAACTATGTCCCATAGGATCAATCTAGTCGATCCTGCAAGTTACCAGAGAAATTGAATAACAGTAATTAAGTTTATTCGATAGTTTGGAAGACTAACGGTTGTTTACCAGAAATCACTGTGAACAACACCTTTGTTTATGCACAATCTTAGAAACGTTTGACGTTACTTCTAAAATCAATTTTTTAAATTCAAGTGGGGGATTGTTGGAACATGTCCATGTTCCAATATATTGAATTTAAAAATTTCTAAAGTCCCACATTGTTAGAATATATTTTTGGTTGAAAGAACCATTTAGTCCCACATTGCTCATGTGAGAAATATTAACTATATTACTTCACTATATAAGGAGTGCACATGTTTCATTTCAAATCACACCAAAAACTACTCTATTAGTTTTTTCTTCCACACTCTCATAACTCTGCGTCTTAATTTTTTGAATTCTCTTTGGAGAATTATTTGAATTTCTCTTTGTTAGAGAAATTATTATGAGTGGTCAAATTACCATTATTATATTCTCTTTGGAGAATTATTTGAGTTTCTTTTTGTTTGAGAAACTATTATGACTGGTCTTTGTACCTGATTTATCCTGGAGGCGGCGCGGTAGTTTGACTGCTTTGCATAATTTTGAGCAGTGCCGCGAAACGTCTTAAAGAGAGCGACCTAGTCCGCGACTCAACCTGATAATTTCTTCGGTGACAAATATTTCAAAATTTGAAACCAACAGATCATAATTCAAGTTACTATGATTCTATGTCTTATGATTTTTATACAAAATATTATGATTCTGTGATTGTGAGGATAAAGGGGATCAATTCCACACTGGAGAAAATTTCAATGAAGTTTGCAAGTATTGATATGTCAAGAAACAAATTTGAAGGAGATATTCCAAATATTATTGGAGGGGTTCATGCACTAATAGGACTTAATCTTTCCAATAACAAACTCACCGGATTTATTCCCCAATCCATGGGAAACTTGACAAATTTAGAATCTTTGGATCTCTCATCAAATATGCTCACCAGTGTTATTGCTGCAGAATTATCCAATTTGAATTTTCTTGAATTCTTGGATCTTTCTAATAACCATCTTGTGGGAGAAATACCCCAAGGAAAACAATTCAACACATTTTCAAATGATTCATATGAGGGAAACTCCGGGTTATGTGGATTACCCTTGTTAAAGAAATGTGGACCTGAACAACATTCTCCACCTTCACCGACAAGCTTTGGAGTGAAGTGAAATTTGGATTTGGATGGAAACCAGTGGCAGTTGGATATGGATGTGGATTTGTGTTTGGAATAGGCCTTGGATATTTCATGTTTTTATTTGGAAAGCCAAGATGGCTTGTGATCATATTTGGTGGCCAACCTAAGAGAAGAGTGAGAAGAAGAACAAGAGTGAGGAGGACCAATGGTTCAAACATGAATCAGATGATACAAATGTCATAGTTTTATTGTTGTGCTTATTTTTTCTAGTGTGTTAGTTTTTAATTTTGTCTAAAATAAGCTTGATCGTTCTTGTTTGATCAGCTAGTTTGGTTTTCTATTGTAAGTTTTCTATTCTTGTTATTGATGTCTTCTGAGTGTGTTTCTTGCTATTCTTGATTGTGTTATAAGCAACTTGGTCTATAAATTATTATTTATATGACCTTTTTACTTTTTCAACTATGTCTTGTGTAGCTGTTACAGAATTGTGTTTTGCAAAAGGTTTATAATAAATAAGCATTTAGATTTAATATGTGAATAAGTCCATGAATACGCTTGGTTGTTGTGGGGTAGTTGGATTCACTGTTTAGAAATGGACAAAACTTATCAAAAGAAAAGATAGTGTCTTTTATGATGTGAGGTTGAGAGAGTGGCATGGTGATTTTGCTAGTGGAATGTTATGAGTTTTTTGAATGAGACGACTCACCTCTGTCTTTTAATAATTTTCATAAATGTTCAGCTACTTACCATTGCCAAGACAATTTTATTCATGTTCTTGATATGTTGTTATAACAAATCACAATGTTTGAATTAAAAGTATATATGAGAACAACATTCATACCTAAGAACTTTCCATGAAAAGTATGTGGCCAACCAACCATAATTCTACCACCATTATATAGGCAAGTTCTTGGTGTACACGGTTGACTCATGACATCTAAACTTTATTATTACATCCTTAATTAGTTTCAACATCTTTCTCTCATTAACATCATTGATCATGGAAAATCTTAGAGAAGATGAGATTGAGGACAACATGTCAATGTCACCGCCTTCCGTTGGTTCCATGCAGATTGCAGGAAGCAATGGCTTTGGTCACAGCATGGAGTTCATGTCCCAGGCATATCTTCACAATAGGTACCCGGAGATTGATATACAGGTCAAGGATTCCACTTTCAACCAAGATCCTCCTCTCCCTGTATATCTCAAGGTACTCAAAAATTCGAGCGATGTTTTTACTGTATCGTAATTCAAAGTTTTTTCTTTTATCACATTCTCAATTAATGTGCAGTTTGAAGATGTAGAATTCAAAGTGCGAAATAGCCAAGTAGCTTCCAAGAACCCTGTGAAGACAATGGTGTCGAAGGTAGCCATGCCAAACAATGTGGAAGAGAAAAACAAATACAAGAAAATTTTAAAAGGTATCACTGGAAGCATTGGCCCGGGCGAAATCCTTGCTTTGATGGGTCCTTCTGGTAGTGGAAAGACAACATTGTTGAGAGTTGTAGGAGGAAGATTACTCGATAACGTTAAGGGAAAGATAACCTACAATGATGTTCCATATAGTCCCGCTCTAAAAAGGAGGTTAAACATGTTTTTTTAAGAATCTATATAGCATGAGACCTCTGAAAAATGCGTGTCTGTGTCTGTGCTGGATTTGTAGCTTAATGTCTCTCTCTTTTATGTTACCTTTTTAGGATTGGATTTGTAACACAAGAGGATGTGCTTTTCCCGCAACTTACGGTAGAAGAAACATTAATCTTCTCTGCATTCTTAAGGCTACCAACCAACATGAGCAAGCAACAAAAATATGCGAGAGTTGAGAACACTGTCAAGGATCTAGGCCTAGAAAGGTGTGTGTGAAGTCAAACATAACTATTGAATGCTTAAACTCATGCAAATGAAAGAAATGAAACTATTTTCCTGAATAATCTCTTGTATAATCATAGATGTCGCCACACGAAAATAGGCGGAGGATATCTCAAAGGTATATCAGGAGGAGAAAGGAAGAGAACCAGCATAGGCTATGAAATTCTTGTTGATCCTTCATTGCTGCTTCTTGACGAACCAACTTCAGGCCTTGATTCCACGTCGGCAAACAAACTCCTTCTCACCCTTCAGGGACTTGCCAAGGTATCAGATTGTAACAACCGATCTTATATTTAACTGTGATTTTGATAACATGTTTTGAAAATATGCTGAAAAATAGTTTTGAATTTGCCTTAGGCTGGAAGAACTATAATCACAACAATTCATCAGCCATCGAGCAGAATCTTTCACATGTTTGACAAACTTCTTCTGATATCAGAAGGCCATCCTATTTATTATGGGAAGGCTAGAGACACCGCAGAGTACTTTTCATCCTTGAGATTCATCCCGGAAATACCGATGAATCCTGCAGAGTTTTTGCTTGACTTAGCAACTGGTCAAGTGAATGATATAAGTGTTCCTCAAGATATTTTCAAAGATCAAGAATCTACTGACCCTTCAATAGATGTTATTAAGGTAATATTTATTATAATCTATAGTATTTATATCATCAGAGCCGTCATAAGTTTTGGGAGGCTCTGTGTAGCTATGTTTTAACAGTGAGAAATATTTTATGAGGTCTTATTTAGGTACGTTTTAATCGTGACAAATTTTAAGCCATGTGCGGTAGTCGATCTTGCACGCCTTCAAAGTCAACCCAGATATTTATTGTCTATCTCATTTCCAACTTAATAAAGGTTTCTTTATTATGTTAGTATGTACAACAAAAGTATAAAGACATATTGGAGCCAAAAGAAAAAGAAGAGAATCATAGAGAAGCAAACACACCAAAACATCTTCAACTAGCCATTCAGGTTAAAAAGGAATGGACATTGAGTTGGTTAGACCAATTCATTATTCTTTATAAGAGAACATTCAGAGCAAGATGCAAGGAGTATTTTGATATATTAAGACTAGTCCAAGCAGTTGGAATTGCACTTTTGTTAGGACTACTTTGGTGGAAATCTTCAATCGATACAGAAGCTCAACTACGAGATCAGGTACTAGATAGTTTTAGAGACAGATCCAGACATTTTAATAGTATTTCATTTTCAAAAGAATTGACTAATTTTGAGTGCAGGTTGGTTTAATGTTCTATATTTGTATATTTTGGACATCTTCATGTATTTTTGGAGCAGTCTATGTATTTCCATTTGAAAAAGTGTACTTAAGAAAAGAAAGGAAAGCAGATATGTATAGGCTAAGTGTATACTACGCAAGTAGCACTCTATGTGACATGGGAGCACATGTTTTGTATCCTACATTTTTCATGCTTATTGTGTACTTCATGGCTGGGTTTAAGAACACTGCGGCTTGCTTCTTCCTCACGTTATTTGCGGTTTTGCTGATAGCTATAACAAGTCAAGTAAGTTGTGTTAAAACTCAGAACATGCTTCTTCCTCACCTTATAGCTTGAATGATTATGCATGTTGTTGTTGTTAATAGGGAGCAGGGGAATTATTTGGAGCTGCAGTTATGAGCATTCAAAGAGCAGGAATGGTTGCTTCTTTGATACTTATGTTGTTCCTTCTTACAGGTGGATACTATGTTCAGGTATGCCCAAAAGAGTAGCAAGTAGCACTATTCATATATGTCGCACTTACATCTCTGAAAAAAGATGTATCAGTATCCGTGTTGGTGTCTGACACTTACACTGACATGCACCGACACTGTCGATTATGTTTAATTTCTCCATTTTTTCAAATTTTTATCAGTGTCTACGTCATTGTCAGCGTAGTGTCTGATATCCGGTGTTTGTGTCTATGCTTCATGGTTCTTTTCGAATAGAACTGATTCTTTGTGAACTGAACTCATTCTTTTCTAACCGAATTGATTGTGTTGCAGCATATACCAAAGTTCATGCAATGGTTGAAGTATATGTCATTCATGTACTATGGATTCAGGCTACTTCTAAAAGTGCAATATTCAGGAGATGAACTATATGAATGTGAAAGTGAGGATGGATGCAAGACACTTCAAAGTTCACCTTCATTTGATACTGTAAATCTGAATGGAGGTTTGACTGAAGTTTGGGTTCTGTTAGCCATGGCTCTTTGCTTTAGAGTGTTTGCTTACTTTTGTCTACGTAGAAGGATTGACATATCCATTTAGTCTTTGAAGAAAATGAAAATTTCTTGTTTAAGATTTCTGCTATGGGCTGTAACTTTGGAAGGTACTTAGTTACCATATTAGCCTTTTAGGCAATGGTGAATAATTAATTTTGAATAGAATATAGTAAGCCATTAAATTAGATTTCTAAGTTTGAATTTTTACAATAATAAAATATTTGTAATATTTTTTTTTAAAAATAAATAAATTGTTCATAAGACATGGTTGGATAACCGAATTTATCTATTGAAGGGCGAACAATTCTTAGAAATTGAGGCAATGATTGTTCACCAAATACTTTAACAAAATTATAAAGTCAAAGTAAATGTTAAATGAATAGAGAAGAAACACTTTAGCTCTAATATATAAGAACAAAAGGGATATATAAAATTGTACAAATTATAACGGGATTAAACTTATAAATCATACCATGAAATTATGGAAAGAAGTGATTGAACAAAGAGTAAGAAAAAAAAATTGAAATTAGTGATAATTAATTTGGTTTTATGTATGAGAGATTTATTATGGAAACAATCTATCTACTCTGACGTGTGACAGGGTAATATCAGATAGACTAACAAGACTTACACTTAATTTCATTGACCGATGCGTATGATAGATGGGTTTGACTTAGGTGACTTTGCATTTGAGTGATTTTGTAAATTTCCCTTTATCTCATTCTAAAACAACCATTCTCTCAACAAATAACTTATTTTAATTATTCTTTGATCCCTAAATTACACTAAAGTTACTAAGTTATCATGAAACCAAAGTCACTCAATCATCTCCTATGATAAGGTGTCTAGAGAGATTTGGTGGAAAATAGAAAAGAAATGGGTTAAGATTGTCTAAATTTGAAATATCTAATATATGTACGAGTGTCTATCCACTAATGTGGGACACAAGGTGGAAAGACAAATAATTTCTCATTACAATAGCATTGTACCAAGGTTTAGTTAGAATATTTACGGTATAACCAAACTCATAGATATAATATAAATAATGTGGTAAATGTTAGAACATACAATCACACAATTGGTAAATTAATGGGGTTAGGATATATGGAGAAGAATATATATATATATATATATATATATATATATATA